TTTGCTCTCTATTCAATTCCTAACAACTTCTAACATCTCATTTGCTTTTCTTCACTGCCACAGTGTTTTGAACTGACATTTTCATAACTTTCTCATTCCTAAGAGCTGTTATCAAACACTAATACTTGGTTCAGAAAACGTAATTGTATATACAAATTTATATTTTTATATGTGTTTCACTTGCACATAATTTCATTTATATCCCATTTCATTTCCAAGCCCCGTAGTGTTGTACAACTTTTCTTTTTACAATTGTTAACACCCATTCTTTATTAATGTTGGTATCATCAGCAAACCTCGCCATAGAACTCTTTCCAGATCATTTATGAATATAGTGAATAACAGTCTCTGGCATAGACTCCTGAGTTTTATTTATAACGTCTCTTTACTATGGAAACGAAGTAATAATTCTTTCTTTTGTTTCCCATAACTTAATAACTTGCTCATCCACCTGAGGGCCTTACCTCCTTTGCTATTACAGCTGAATTTCTTGAAGAGGGACTGGAAAAGGATCTTAATAAATGCCTTTTTGAAATCCAGAAGAGTGTATCAACTTGATTAGTACTATTTACATGTTTCAAGAACTGTAATAGATGTTTCTGTTACTAAAGTAATTGTGGCCCCACTCTCATATTTATCCACATGTTTACAAGTCCTTCTCCTGAGGCCACGAGAGATGACTGGCTACAGTTTTTCAGATTTTGTGCAAAACTCTGTGAGAAATCACTGCCACGTTAACCACCTTCCAGTCATGAAGCAGTTTTAGGAAGGTATGATACAGCATAGTTCATAAATCCGTTTATTTCTTTTCTCAGTATCTTTAGAACACTTCAGTTAATTCCACCAGAAATTTGATGCTTATAATCCTATCAAATATTCTTTAACGTCTTGCACTGACATTTCAGCTCAAGATGATAGTGTGATAGTTACATGCAGGAGGATAATTCTACCTTTCCATGTTCTTACACTCTTAAAAAAAGATATAGAATTTTGCATCTCCGGAACTTTGTGCCAGGAAGAGAGTGCCAAGTACATTATCAAATCAAATCGACTTAAAGAATAGTTGGAGAGTGGGAAGTGTAACCTTGGTTAGCCTCACACTCACACAGCTGCTTATTCACTACCTCTCCGCAATAGGACAGGGGCAGAAAACAGGACAGAAAACACCTTGGGTTAAGATAAAGACAGAGTTCCTCTCTGCAGCTTCTCCTCCTCTCACTTTTCCCCTGCTCCAGTGTGTGGCCTCTCCACAGGCTGCAGTCTTTTAGGATGAACCTGCTCCAGCACAGGGTCATCCATGGACTGTGGTGTGCTTATCTGCTTTGTCGTTGCTTCTTGCACTAGCTGTAGGTGAATCTCAGCTCTGGTGTTTGGAGCACTGCCTCCCCCTCATTCTTCTCTGCTGATGGTGATTGCAGAGATGTTCCTCACCTTTTTTCCCACACTCCTCCCTTGATTGTGCAGTGTTTTCTTCCTTTCTAAAACACATTTCTCCAGGGGCACCACCCACTTGGCTGACAAGGCCAGCCCTGCCCTGCAATGGGTCCGTTGGAGTCAGCAGGCACCAGATGAAACTGTCTGAGACAGACCTGGCCTCTCCTCAGAGGCCACCCTGCAGGCTCCCACTGCTAGCACCTGGGCACTGACAGCAGATACAGTGCCTAAATCCCTGTAAACCACCAAGAAGCCCCTGGAAAGGAGATCAACCAACTTGTCCCACTCAGAAGGAACTTGCTGTGACAAATGCAAACTTAAATTGTGAAGAAACACAGCCACCTCACAGAATTTAACAGTGACCCAGCTTAAGACATCCACTGCAAAGAGTCTTTGCTTTCATATCTAAGCTCTTGGCTACATTCCTTCAGTGTTGACTGGAGCGGCAGTTTAGAATCAGGTTTGCACCAGTTGCCGCATTTCCTAAATGGATGCTGAGGAAAAACGATACTCAGAAATACCGAGGAAATAGAGCATTTAAAATACTTCTCTCTCCAGGTTAAGTACATGAATGGTAGAAGCTCTCTGGAGATTAATTATCTAAATTTTCCCTTTTTAGACACAGAGGACAGAAGACTTGAGGTGACGAAAGCCATCTAATTCCTAAGAGCCAGATGCCCTTGAGCTCAGAGGACTTTGGAGACTAGAAGTTTCCACAACCTGGGGACAATGTTTGAATGAGTCACCCATCTCCAAATGTGCAAAATACCTAATTCATCTGTAAATGATGACCCAGAGCTTCAGATGTGCCCATCTTTTCCCCTAGCTGGTGGCTAAGATTAGAGGCAGAGTTGCTCCCTTCTTCCTCCTTCAGTGCCTCTTAATAATAAGCTTAAATGTCACCTTGCTCAGAATGCTGATTATTAGGAGTCATATTTTGGGTACTCAAGGTATGGAGAGCTTAGACACTCAACTGTGTATTGTCAATTCTCATGGTTTAAGCCCAGCCGGTAACTCAGAACCACACAGCTCTCGCTCACTCCTCACCTTCTTCCCCCCACTCCTGGAGCGATGGGGAGGAGAATCGAAAGAATGTAACTTCCATGGGCTGAGATAAGAGCAGTCCAGTAACTAAGGTGTAACATAAACCACTACTGCTACCACCCATAACAATAATGATAAGGGAAATAACACGGGAAGAGAATGTAACTTCTCACCACCCACCAAACAATACCCAGCCCGAGCCGAGCAGTAATCTGGGCCTTCTGGGTAACTCCCCTCAGTTTATATGCTGGGCATGTTGTGCTGTGGTATGGAATACCCCTTTGGCTAGTCTGGGTCAGGTGTCCTGTCTCTGCTTTGTCCTGGCTTCCCATGCCCCTCCTCCCTGGCAGAGCAAGAGACTGTAAAGTCCTTGATCAGAGTAAACATTACTGAGCAACAACTAAAAACATTGGTGTGTTATCAACATTGTTCTCAGGCTAAAGCTGAAAACAGCACTGCGTCAGCTACTAAGAAGGAGAAAAATGACTGCTAGAGCTGAGCTCAGGACAGCAATTCTACTCATTTCAATACAGAGTATTAAAACATTTGGCCAGTTGTAACTGTGTGATTCACCAAGGTTCAAAAAAGTAATGTGACTGTGTTGGGAAGATGAATCTCATTCCACTTAAGCTAGTGTTGCATCACCTAGGTATTTTTCTCACTCTAGCCACAAGACTAGAAAAGCAGCTGCAAACCCACTTTATGTTCTATGCAGATGGAAAGAATCAGCCTTAGAGGAACTTCTGAGGTCACTGGGCTGCAGACTGGGACTAACAGCTATAATTATCCATATAAAGTGTATGAAGGAAAAGGGACATAGGGAAATCAGATTACCAATGCTAAAATAATTACTTTTATGTATAAAGAAGAAAGCTTTGCGTGAACCGTACAGCTTTTGAGACAATCAGACACATATGATTGTGCCAGTGTAATTTGGAGAGAGGTGGGAGAGGTGAAGAGGGTCTTTGTCCCTCAAGGAGCTCTTCCTGCAGCCCACAGCAACAGAGGCATATGTACTGCACAACCATGTAGTCTGACCCATGAAAAGAATAATTTAATCTTCGGAATTTTCAATTTCTTGTCTCTCTGAACCATTTAAGTTCAATTCTTTTAATTAACGTTTAAATGAGGCTGCAATTCCCTGTTTACATTTTCAGAGGTCATTAGGACTTTACAGCATTAGGCAAGTTCCCTTTCATATCAAAGAATTTGACAAATCTTCTCACATCCAGGCATTTTATACTTTCCCAGCACTGTTGATCTGGATTTATTTTACTGCTTTCTCTTTAACTACTGATTGTATCTAGGCTTGATAAGTAACACAGACATAAGAATGCGCATTGTCCAGATTTCCCCCAAATTTAAGTAAATAGAAATTCTACTGTCAAAACTAATTTCCATATTGTATAAAGCAAACCTCAGAATTACCCTTTCTAAACACTCTTCTAAACACTCTGGTCTTTACTGGTTTTCCCATTTCTCACAGAATGTTTATCTTTCACCCATTTCCATCTTTTTATTACATTAGTAATATGCTCATTTGTATGTTCCTTTCATCCTCAGAGAGACCTCAGTATACACGTATAGTAGCATTTCTCAGCAAGATATAAGCTTGTGCTATATGTCATAAGACAGCATGCAAGCAAAGTGCTATAAAAAGGGTCTATGTGTGCAAAAGCTTTAGAGTCAGTGGGCATTCAGCACTGCTGCCCTTGAAACTTCTCTTTTGCCTTTCACCTATGTCCTGTCCTGCTAACTGATGTCCATATGGGATATCTCAATGAACGCGTCTTCTCAATGCTGCTTATAATGTGCAATGCCTCTGCTACACACATGAATCTCAATAGTGAACCAATGAAGGCACCTTCCCTACAAGTGATAATAGTGACAACTATAACGGAACTTTAGTTGACAAAAACAAATAAAATCAGGAAATAGTTATATTGGATTTGCATGGCCAGGTTTTGGCAGAGGTTACAGGGGTAGCTTCTGTGAGAAGCTGCCAGAACCTTCCCCTGTGCCTGACAGAGCTATTGCCAGCTGCTTCAAGATGGACCTGCCACTGGCCAAAGATGAGCCCATCAGCAATGGTGGTAACACCTCTGGGATAATGTATTTAAGAAGGGGAGAAAGTTACTAAACAGCACCAACTACAGCCAGAGAGAGGAGTGAGGACATGTGAGTGAAACAGCTCTGCAGACACCAAGGCCAATGCAAAAGGAAGGGAGGAGGTGCTCCAGGTGCCGAAGCAGAGATTCCCCTGCAGACCATGATACAGACCATGGTGAGGCAGGCTGTGCTCTGCAGCCCATGGAGGTCCATAGTGGAGCAAATCTCCATCTGCAGCCCATGGATGATCCTGTGGGAAGCCCATGCTGGAACAGCCTCCTGCCAGGAGCCCACTCTGGAGCAGGTTTGCTGTCAGGACTTGTGACCCTGTGGGGCATCCACACCTGAGGCCAAACATTCTTCAGCCCAGCAACAAAGGATTCAAAGGGCAGCAACCAAGAAAAACATTCAGGCTAGAGTACTACCTTTGCCAGTGTTTCCAGTTTCTCAAATGAACCACTCCAGCAGACAGACAGCAGTTCATCAATTTTTTCTCTAGGGATGACCTGTAACAAGAAGTTACATTTCTTAATTTCAACTCTGTAAGCTTAAATTGAAGTTGATGCTACAGTAACAGTTACAAACTGTTTATGAAGGAAACCATTTTAGGGTTTCATTCCTCTACACACCCAACCCCTTTCAAGCAAGTATGTAACTAAAACTACCTAAATTCTAAGAGTCAAAGCTAGGCTGTAATGGTGGTGTTGTTTGTCCTACAGCAGTGACAGTACTTGGGACCCAAGTTTGTAGGCCAGGTCTAGCGGGGGCTGGTGGAGCTGGTCCGATAAAGAAGGGGAAGGGCAGTTTTGGTAGGAGGCTTGCCAGACTGGTCAAGGAGGCTTTAAACTAGATGTGTTGGGGGAGGGGGGCATCATTCCATCCCAACACTCCCAGTCAGTTGCCAGCACCTATAATAAATGCTTGGACCAATGCAGAGATATTCCGGCTGCTCCAGCCAATGAGCCGGCTTCATTTGGAGCTCGGCTCAGATGCCTCTATACAAATGCCCGTAGCATGGGGAACAAACAAGAGGAATTAGAGATGTGTGCTCGTCTACGGGGGTATGACATTATAGGCATCACAGAAACATGGTGGGATGGCTCCTATGACTGGAGTGTTGGAATGGAAGGTTACAGACTCTTTAGAAAAGACAGGCCTGGCAGGCGCGGAGGGGGAGTTGCCCTTTATGTTAGGGATAGGCTGGAGTGTATGGAACTCTGTCTGGGGACAGGTGAGCAGATAACAGAGAGCTTGTGGGTCAGGGTTAAAGGGAAAACAGCGATGGGAGACATTACTGTGGGGATATGTTATAGACCACCTGATCAAGAGGAATCTGCGGATGAAGCACTCTATAGGCAGATAGGAAAAGCCTCACGCTCACAGGCCCTCGTTCTCATGGGTGACTTCAACCACCCTGACATCTGTTGGAATGACGGTACGGCCCGGCACAAGCAATCCAGGAGGTTCCTCGATTGTGTGGAAGACAACTTCCTTCTGCAAGTAATAGAGGAACCGACAAGGAGAGGTGCCATGCTTGACCTTGTGCTCACCAACAGGGAAGGGCTCGTTGGAAATGTGGCACTCCAGGGCAGCCTTGGATGCAGCGACCACGAGATGGTTGAATTTGAGATCCTTAGGACAGTGAGAAGAGCGTGCAGCAAGCTCACTGCCCTAGACTTCAAAAGAGCAGACTTTGGCCTCTTCAGGAACCTGCTTAGTAAGGTTCCATGGGATATAGCCCTAGAGGGCAGGGGGGCTCAAGACTCTTGGTTGGTCTTCAAGGATCACCTGCTACAAGCTCAGGAGTGTTGCATTCCAACTAGAAGGAAGTGCAGCAGGAGGGCCAGGAGACCTCCTTGGATGGATAAGGAGCTCCCGAGGAAAATTCAAATGAAAAAAGAGTTTTATAGAAAGTAGAAGAAAGGACAGGCGGCCTGGGAAGAGTACAGGGATATTGTCCGGGAAGCTAGGGACCAGGTTAGGAAAGCTAAGGCCTAGTTAGAATTAAACCTGGCTAGGGATATTAAGGATAACAGGAAGGGATTCTACAGGTACATAGCAAATAAAAAACAGATTAGGGAGAATGTAGGCCCCCTCAGGAAGCTCTCAGGTGAACTGGCTACACAGGATTTGGAGAAGGCTGAGGTTCTGAATGACTTCTTTGCCTCGGTCTTCTCTAGCAAAGGCTCTGACCGCACCACCCAAGTCTTGGAAGGCAGACGCAGGGACTGTGAGAATGAAGACCTTGGGCCCACTGTAGGAGAGGAACTGGTTCGAGACCATCTTAAAAATCTGAATGTGCACAAGTCCATGGGTCCTGATGAAATCCATCCACAGGTCCTGAAGGAGCTGGCAAATGAAGTTGCTAAGCCACTGGCCATCATATTTGAAAAATCATGGCAGTCAAGTGAAGTTCCCGACGACTGGAAAAAGGGAAATATAACCCCCATTTTCAAGAAGAGGAAAATGGATGACAAGGGCAATTACAGACCAGTCAGTCTCACCTCTGTGCCTGGCAAAATCTTGGAGCAGATTCTGCTGGAAGGCATGCTAAGGCACATGAAAAACAACAAGGCGCTTGGTGACAGCCAGCATGGCTTCACCAAGGGGAAATCCTGACTGACCAATCTGGTGGCCTTCTGTGACATGGGTACAGAACTGATGGACACGAGTGAGGCAGTTGACGTCATCTACTGGGAATTGTGCAAAGCGTTCGACACTGTCCCACACGACATCCTTGTCTCTAAATTGGAGAGACACCAATTTGATGAATGGACCACTCGGTGAATAAAGAACTGGGTGGATGGCTGCACACAAAGAGTTGTGGTCAATGGCTCAATGTCCGGCTGGAGACCAGGAACGAGTGGTGTCCCTCAGGGATCGGTGTTGGGACCGGTCTTGTTCAACATTTTTGTTGGTAACACGGACAGTGGGATTGAGTGCGCCCGCAGCAAGTTCACCGATGACACCAAGCTGTGTGGTTCGGTTGATATGTTGGAGGGAAGGAATGCCATCCAGAGGGACCTTGACAAGCTTGTGAGGTGGGCTGATGCCATCTTTATGAAGTTTAACCATGCCAAGTGCAAGGTCCTACACCTGGGTCGGAGCAATCCCAGGCACAGCTACAGGTTGGGCAGAGAAGAGATTCAGAGCAGCCCTTCAGAGAAGGACTTGGGGGTGCTGGTTGATGAGAAAATGAACATGAGCCGGCAGTGTGTGCTTGCAGCCCAGAAAGCCAACCATATCCTGGGCTGCATCAAAAGGAGTGTGACCAGCAGGTTGAAGGAGGTGATCCTGCCCCTCTACTCTGCTCTCAAGAGACCTCACTTGGAGTACTGTGTGCAGTTCTGGTGTCCTCAACATAAAAAGGACATGGAACTGCTGCAACTCCAGAGGAGGGCCATGAGGATGATCAGGGGACTGGAGCACCTCCTGTATGAAGACAGGCTGAGAAAGCTGGGGCTGTTCAGCCTGGAGAAGAGAAGGCTGCGTGGAGACCTCATAGCAGCCTTCCAGTATCTGAAGAGGGCCTGTAGGGATGCTGGGGAGGGACTCTTCATTAGGGACTGTAGTGATAGGACAAGGGGCAATGGGTTAAAACTTAAAACAGGGGAAGTTTAGATTACATATAAGGAGGCAGTTCTTTACTGTAAGGGTGGTGAGGCACTGGAATGGGTTGCCCAGGGAGGTTGTGAATGCTCCACCCCTGGCGGTGCTCAAGGCCAGGTTGGACGAGGCCTTGGGTAATATGGTTTAGAGCGAGGTGTCCCTGCCCATGGCAGGGGGTTGGAACTTGATGATCTTAAGGTCCTTTCCAACTCTTAACTATTCTATGATTCTATGATTCTATGATTCTATATTAAAATAAAAACAATACAGTGATAGTGAATTGCCGAAGTCATCATCATAAACACACTTATTCAGGGCACTAAGTGGAGGGCCTACTTCAACAATTAGATCAGCCAGGGTTTTCAAAACCATTCTATAACTAAGTGAAACAGCAAGTCATTTCTCTCCAGTGACACACCAGGGACATACTCAAAAAGCACAATGCAACACAATCAGACAATAAATCAGAATCCTGTCATTATTTGGCTTTGAGCAGGGAAGCACTGCCCATGTTCTCCTCTAGTCATTGTCATTCCTGCTGACTACCTGGACCATTTGGTTTCAAAGCTTCTTTATTTTTATCTTTTGGACTAAGTTCACTCCAGGGTCACAAAAGTTATGTACAACCAAGACCCTGAAGTCTTTATGAAGATGTAAAGTTGGGTTCCTTTGGTTTTGTCATGGTTTAAACCCAGCTGGTAACTCAGAACTATGCAGCTGCTCACTCACTCCCCCCACTTCTTCATCCCCTCAGCTCCCAGAGGGATGGGGAAGAGAATCAAAAGAATGTAACTCCCACGGGTTGAGATAAGACCAGTCCAGTAACTAAGGTATAACATAAATCACTACTGCTACCACCAATAATAGTAATGGTAAGGGAAACAAAAAGGGGAGAGAATACAAACCACTCACCACCCGCTGATACTCAGGCCAACCCAAGCAGTAATCTAGCCCCTGCTGGGTAACTCCCCCCAGTTTATATACTGGGCATGACATGCTGTGGTATGGAATACCCCTTTGGCTAGTTTGAGTCAGGTGTCCTGTCTCTGCTTTCTCCCGACTTCCTCTCCTCCCTGGCAGAGCATGAGACTCAAAGTCCTTGGTAGGAGTAAACATTACTTAGCAACAATTAAAAACATCAGTGTTATCAGCCTTGTTCCCAGGCTGAAAGTCAAAACCACAGCACTGCACCCGCCACTAAAAAAGAGAAAAATGACTGCTATAGCTGAACCGAGGACAGGTTTATACAAGCATTATTCAATAATGGAATTTCATGCTTTTCTTTCCTATCATTAGTCAGCTTCTGCCAGGTTTCTCTGAAATTGTGATTTACAGATATCCGTAAGTGAAATCCAGCTCTTTCCTACAGCCAGATACACAAAACTGAATGAGAAGTTCACTAAGGAAGTTGTTTAAAACTGGTCTGTAAAACATACACAGTTGCAATAGCCTCTGGTTCCATCAAAGTGAGAACCTCACAGTGCTCACAATTAACTACAATGGCAGCACCTTCAAGGGAAGTGTGTCCATCATTAAAGCCTATTTATTTCTCAGCTCCTCAACTCCTGATCTCACGTTTCTTGCTTTAGAGGGTAATTGTTCTGTTGCTATAGGAACACCTTCACAAAAGTCTTATTTAAATGTATGTCCTCTCAGGTTTCTCTTGTCCCCGTCAGTTTTATCTATGTCATTCTAGAAGAAATTTCTGCTGTTTTGCTAAAAAGCAACATCTTTGAAGAGGCGCTGTCACTGTGAACAGCGTTAAAATGAGTTAGGTGTTACTGTGTTAGGGGAAAATGAGCTGCTACTGAAAGCTACTCCCCTGTGGTGTTTCTAAACCATATTTTGCAATGATCTATACTTATATACACCCACATACCTATAAATATACACATATATAAAAGTGCCAAAAAGATGTTCTAGTCCACTGTCCCACAAAAGGCAATACATTTTGCATTCACGGGCAGAATATTTCAACTTCAGTTTCAATTATAAGACTATTTTACAGATTTCCATGACTCAGAGAATAAGTTGTTAGAAACTTGATATATAATAAATGTACAAAACCAGGCCATCTTTAAAATTCTGGTGGTATGTATTGGCACCATACTGCAATACGAATGAGTATAAAACAATTTTTTAGTCAAACTTTGAGCAAAAGTAGATACAGGTAGTCAGCAGACTTGCTACATAAATGCTTTCCAGACTAATTACAGAAGAAACCAAAGCATGGCTTACCCCAGCAATTTCAGTGACTATCTTCTCTGTGATCTCTTTCCCACCCATTAGGCGAGTGGCACTTTGAAGAAAAGTAATTGCTTTTCTTAAGTCCCCTTCTGACACTTTAACAAGGTAAGACACTGCCTGGAAAATAATGTCAGAAAATGCCAAGTTACATGTTTACTGTTAATTAAAACACAGTAAGCTTTCTCAGAACACTGATTTTAAAACATCAAACAATGTCTAGAGCAGATGGTCACAGACAGGCACAATACACAAGTTACAAAGCAACCTTTCTACTTTTATAAACGTGTGATGGCGATTTCATAATGAAGCACAGTATAATGCAAGTATACTCAGCACATAACAAAAAGCCCTATAGTTTTGCTTGTTTTCTCTGATGGACATTTCTCTGATTTTAGGAAGACTTAAAATTCAACCCATCTGTGGAAGGAGAATAACATTTAAATGAGGTTATATATTTCCTCTAAATACAACTGAGAAGTCTGGAAACTTAGCCCCTTTCAGTGCAATGCAATTATGAACCGTATTAAGCAATAAAATTACACGGCAATCAAGAAGTTACCTCATTACTGATTTTTACTTGTTCCTTCTCAGAAACATCCAACAGCCTCTGCTGTTGGATTTTGTCTGACAAAGGCTTGAAGCGGAATTTGGAGCATCGAGATGTTAAAGGTTCAATTATTCTGAAAGAAAGGAAGGTTAAGTGTTTGGTAAATGAATGCATGGGTCAAGTTCATACAGACAAAGCTATCAAGACAGAAAAAGGCAAAATAACCTTAAACCCACAACTTTGTGAAAAACACAAGTTGAAACCTAAACATTGTGCTCAGACTTATATTCACATAGCTACACCTCTACTAGATCTCTAACTGAAAACTGTAGGTCAATCTCTCAGCAAGAGGGGGCAGGAAGAAATTACAGAAGAAAAATGTCAATAAATCCAAATAAGCAACAAATTCCACATATACCTGCTGATGTAGTTACAAATAAGGCAGAAACGTGTTGTTTTAGATTCTTTCTCCATTGTGCGCCTTAAGGCTGCTTGAGCTGCTGAAGTCATTGAGTCTGCTTCATCCAGGATTACAATTTTAAAAGGAGGACAAACTTTACCACTGAAAAATAAGAAATCTTTTATCCAGGAGACAAGCAACGTATAGACCAAGCTAAAAACCAAATCAAACCAAAAACCAACCAAACAACAAAAACTCCATACCAGTGCAAACAGCAAGTCATACTTCATTTATGTATACCTGACAAATAGAACATACTCAGTTAATTTTTTTCTGATTATGGACTGGTAATTGTAATAAAGGGGGGGACTGAGTTCCCATAGAAAGGCTGATGCTTTAATACTACCAAATGTCCTCAAGAATATGTACTCTTGCTTTAAGTTTCTTCTTTCAATAACTAATGCGGCTCTTCTTTTCCAAGCTTCCTGATTTCCTGAACTTCAAAGAACACTGCAACAGACTAACAGTACATAAGACCACTTCTTGCCAGATAGTCCTGGCATGCAGTCTCTTTCTGCTACTTTCCACTATCTGTTTTTTCCACACATATTGGCTTCACCCACACAGGCCTTCTCGCCACCTTACACCAGAATCTTGTTAGCATCTTAGAAACTAGCACCCATCTTGTAAGTAATGCTGCAGATTAGACATACTAGAGAAACAACTTCCACCAAAATTTACCCACAGAAGCTTTTCTATGTTAGTCAGACTACATTTACAAAGGCAATTACCTATCACCAAATCCAGAAGACTTGATCTTTTGGGGTTTTCCCTGTCTGCCTCTAACTCTAACAGAACTGGCAAAATTTCCTCCCAGGTATTCAAACTCTCAACATGAAATTACATGAAGTCAAAGCTTAGTCCAAGCACTGTGTTGCAAATTCCTGGGCAGTGCTGACCCATCATCTGTATTAGAATTATAAACAAAAAAGAACCACAGGCTTTGTCCTAAGCACTTACTCTGAACGGCTTCCAGATGCAGTAAGTTGAGCAAAAGCCTTCACTTTTTCCCGAATTACTTGGATTCCACGTTCATCAGAGGCATTTAACTCAAGGACTCTTTGCCGGAATAATTCAGGACTGCAAAATTTTTATTACAACATATTAGTTGTTAGTTCTTGTAATGATGCATTATAAAGTATCTCAATAACCCTTCTGGGCTTTCTGAACAGCAGGTATTATTTTTGCCAGCATTACTAAATAACATGCCTCGTTAAAAGGCAGTTGAGGTATGACTTTCCATTAGTTATTTTTACAGTTGCGTCCCAGACTATGAAAAACAATGAGGTGTAAAATTACACCAGTTATCGAGGAAAAAGAAAGCAGGAAGTTGGCTTCATAAGTTCAGAGCACTATATAATATGCCTTTCTACTTATATGTTGTGAGCAACATGGAAGAACAAGTAAAATGCTCAGATACAGTCACTGGTAGGGCTCTGCCATTGCAATGCTACCAGAAAGAAACGTCTATAAAGTATAATACAGACAGTGTTTAGCAGCAATACTATACAGCAGCACCTCTGATTTAAAAAACAAACCAGCCAGTGGATTTTAAGTTCTGGGAATTCAAATAGATGTAAAACATGAAACTGTCTTCCTACTATTAAAATAGAAGTGGTTCTCTCTAAAAAGCAACATGAGTCAAAAAATAAAAACAATGACGGGGGGTGGTGGGGAGAGGCACTAAAGTCAGCATTAGAATTAGATTTGATTGTAACATCAAACCACCTTTTCATCCTTTTTTTTTTTTTTCTTTTGGGTCACTGAATTCACTACTCAAAACCCCCAAGTGCTACAAGTGAGCTGATGAACACACACATGCTGAATTTTAGACTCCCACTATTATTTCTAGACACAATCCAATGGTGCATAACAAAAAGACTACAATTCAGGCATTTTATGAAGTACTTTGAGATCTAGGTGTAGCTATCAGCTTACTGAATATTCCATTAAAATTGTGACCCCTTTACAAAGTTCAGTAAGACATATGCAAGCCTTTTTTTTCATACTCTTTGTTACAGAGTTGTAAGGCTCTTAGTTTGAAGTATTGTAAGTCTGTATTAGTAACAGAAAGCAAAGATTTGTGACAGGACAAAAGAGAAAGAAATCTCATATTAGAGCTGAATTACAGTGTGAGGGTACTCCTGAAAAAGATCTAGAAGCTACGTAAGAGCAGGCAATGGCCAGAGACACTCCATCACATGATTAGAAGACATGTGATAGTTGATTACACCAAAGCAACTTGACTCCAGCTTACCCATAGAGTTCTCTAGCAGCTGCTAAAATAGTGGAAGTCTTTCCAGTTCCAGGTGGGCCATAGAACAACAGATTGGGAAGCTGAAACAGTAACACACCATTTTATGAAAAGCAAACAAACAAAACAAACCACAAAGAGGAACACCTACTGAAAATCTGTGCACCTCATAGACCATAAACTACCTACTCTTCCTGGTAAATAATATCAAGTCTTTCACTTTTAGGTCATTACAAATGGTGCTGTAAAGGAGGACAAATGGTTGCTGTTTACAACACAGCATGAACAAGTTGTTATTTGGTGTTATGTTCTACCAAAATTAATACTTTGGTTTATATTTTATTTTGATATATTCCCTTCAGGTCATGTTTGAGATTACTAAAGCTTACAGAACTTACTGTTATGACTGCAGTGACATGCAAATTTATCCAAGAATGTCCCTGAAATAGTCTGGGTAATATTAGTAGTGCAGGTGTCTCAAAACCTGTCACATGTTAACTATCCCTTACTTTCTCACCTCCACATATTCAAGCCATGCCAAGAATTCTGTGCTGTCATTAACTTAACTTCAGTAAATACAAGGTAGCTTGAGAATGCGGTAAGTGCAATGCAGACATAGCCTAACACTAATCACAGGGATGCTTGTAAGGACTGACCGGACTGCCAGCATAGTGCTGGCAAATTCCTACATCCTTCCAAGGATTTTTTGAAGCAAGACACCAGATTCTTAACCTAATTTCTTTAAGACATTAGGTTAACTGATCTTTCAAATAATTTAATTAATAACCTCAGCATGAAAAATAGGAATGCGTTAAAGAAACAGGATGACACAGGAGGACCAAAGAGGCACAGCAAAGACTGCAGTAATGATTATAGGATGACATTTAGCAGCACAAAGCATAAAATCTCACAGTTTGAGAATACAACTAAATATCTGCTAGATGTCTGGAATTCATCAGCTGGAATAAATTAAAAGTTGCCAAAAGTCTGTCAGTGAGAGGAACAGTGTAAGCCTGTTTAACATATATCAGAGCAACACATAAATTGGCAAAAACCAAATTTGTGTAAGTTAGCCATGACTACATTTTGGCTGAAATCAGTAAGATTTCTAATTAGCACAGGAGTGCTAGCTTTCTATACTACAGACTTTCTGTACTACAGCTTTCTGTGCTATCAGACTGCAGTTGAAAACTGCTGCCTTGACAGGGCGATGTTCCAGGTTTATATTCTTAGAACAAGAATCTAAGAGTCCCTCTGATCAATAGCAAAAAGACAAACCTCTCAGTTGGACTTGATTTTCAGCCCTTAATAAAGGTTCTATTTTTAAAAAAGATCAACTAAAATTAGATTAGAAAATTTTATGCTGAATATAGGAAGCAATGTAGACAGAATGGGAACAGCAAAACCAAACACATCCAAGTAGCAGAGAAAAATGCAGAAGTACAAAACCCATAATCAGAAAACGAAACAGAGACGGGCCACTTTGGTAACAAGCATCCCATTTTAACAACTGGGCAAGACACAGATAACAGATTCAAGTGCGTATGTACTGTAAAAGAACAGAGTATTTTCAATTTTCCATCATTTTATAGCAAACAAATCCATTTCAAGTTTTGCCTGCTCTACCAATCATTTGATTGTTTTCCTAGTTACTGAAAAGTAAACAGTACCTAGTGCAACCAAACACTTTTCCAAGTTTGATTAGATGCCACAACAATTCTACTCCCCTGTATCTTTTAGGAAAGTTCCAGTGAAAGGAAGTGTTAACTGAATGTCAGCTGAAAATTCACCAACCACTATTAACACACTGCAAGGATAGGCATTTTCACAGAGATTCATAATTTCATGGGTCTATGCTAATTCACATTTTCCTCGTTCTCAAATCAAGCATTATCAGGTACAAAGTTTTAATAAGAATGTTTCTAATTCCATTAAATCCATACTTTATTAATGTGTGCTACAACCTCAATTATGCTTGTTTATCACTAAAGTTATCACTAATATTTACACTACTTTTCCATCAAGCACAGCCTACTCCTTTATGCAATGGTGGCGGTATTTTTAAACAGGCTGCAACCTGATCTGGTTATCCATTTTTCCATGCTTGCCAGGCGTAAGCAGCAAACCTGCAGGCATCACCCTGCTTATGGGACAGTTACCGCATATAGTGTGAACCCCAATTACTTTTCTAGAAGTTTCAGCACAAGTGAAGAGAAAAATTGCCACAATAATCCTACCCCTCTCTTTTTTCAGTCATTAAGATACCATGAAGTAAATGAAAACTAAAGAATACTATGACACTTCTCAGTTTCTTTGCAAAAAAACAAGAACAAATCAACAGTCTTAGAAGACAGAAATCAGCTTCTCCAGTTCAAAAACACTTGGACTTTGGTTTCCCCAGTTTCTAACAAGACAGATGCTTGCTGTTACAAATGGAGATATATCAGGGACTTAAAAGTTCTGCTCCATTTAGCAGCTCCAAAACCAAGGCCTACAAATAGAGACCAATCAACAAAGGACCCACTTTCCATTTTCAATACTAAGGTTTAAATAAAGCACATTACACAAACCTACATCATTGTCACAGCTGTTTCTTTGATCTCACCAGATCTCCAAATTCAGTAAGAACTTCTGAAATAAGTACCAGCCACTTTAAAGTTCGAATTACACTTTCGCCTTTTTGACAGAATGAGTCCTTTCAAGAACTAATAAAATATCCAAATTTTAAAAGTGTCAGATATTTTAAAGCACTTCCATGATTTTGTTCTCAAATGCCTTGCTGGATTTGGGTAGCTATGGCAAAATACAAAGCTTGTGACCATAAGCAGAAGTTGTAACTTGGCTTTTTAACTCAGGAGGCATAAAGCCAACACAAGGATAAGAGGCTCATAATCTAAGAAACACTGCTGATCCAGAAGCTGTAAGGTTTTAAATAACTGTTGCTCAAAATAGAACTTCATCACCCATCACCTAAGCGATGTTCCACAACTGATACATCCAGACAAAGTAAGCGGCAGCACCTCCTTTCTCCTTAGCTGTCAGTAGTTCCTTACTAACTACCTCGACTGTACAAATCCATAGTATATAGTACATAGCAACACTGCTATTCAAACAGAAATTTCTATGGGTACAATGCTACATGACACGGTCACATTACAACAGCATTCTCAAAGTAAATTGAATCTGGAGACACGAGCTAGAGAAAGAAATTATAACAAGTCTTCCTGAGTTCTGTCACACCAGCTCCATTTTGGCTCTTCACACTTAAGGTACTTCTGCTTTTGCAAGTTCTGAATAAATTAATATTTTTAGATAGAAATAAGTTCATATCAGTCAAAACCAGGACTACAGAGCAAATTGCCTTAAGGTAAAATTTTCAAATACCAAAGACTACCTGTGCATATAGTGCATTAGAGCACACTACAAGTGAAAGGTTTCTTGAATAAAACTCTGAAAGGTCCAAATTGTTTCTTTTAGATCTCTGTGAGCAGAAAGCCATATCACAAATATCATTTTCAGAACATTCTTACCAATCCCTTCCACTAGCACTTTCATGGCATTAGCAGTCCATGAAAACAGAAGCAGCTTTTGGAGCACAAGAATGACTCTTCTAGGCGAAATGTGGAACAAAAACCACCAACCAAACAAAAAATCTCATCATGTATGAGGGGAGGAATTGTCCAGATCTGCAGAAAAGCACAGCCATCTCTTGGCTACCTATTTTATATCTCCCTTCAGTCCCTTCAACTCCCTCTCACCTGGTTTGGAGGAAATAAACATTGTTCATACCGAGTATTTACTAAATGTTTATCCAAAAGCAAATGCAAGTATAAACAAATGCAACTGAAAACGCTTTAGGTCACAGAAGCAAACACTGCACTGAAGTTAGTGCAACTGTCATACTCAGCTTTTCAAAGCCGAAAACTTACTTAGAAAGTTTACCCCAAAACTCTAGAATTGGTATCTAAGTAGCATGTAAAGTTGTAAGTATATACTGTTATAAGTGGCACTTGTAACTTAAACTTCCCTTATGACTAACAAGTGTATTTGTTTTCGTTTTCAGCAGTTTCACAGAAGCAATGATAGATTACTAGAACTGTTTAGGAATGACTGGCAATCCAGACTTTTATATGAAAAAAAAATTCCCTCTTCTCTTAAACAGGAATGTCAAAAGTACTATCTGAAAAGTAGCATAGAGACAACAAAAGCCTTTCCAGATTTGAAACTATTAACAAGAAAATCAACTGAGTTTTTCTCCAGAAAGATTCAAACTACTTCACAGAACTGGCAATTTCACAATGTTAGAGTGCTGGAAACATCATAAATTTTATGCATATTTTGCAACATGCTATGAGGAAGCCACTTAGCTTGTTCATAAAGTACCACTGGAAAAATCATTGCCTTGGTTTTTGCTGGGGTAGAGTTAATTTTTTTCTTAGTAGCTGGTACAGTGCTGTGTTTTGGATTGTGTGAGAACAATGTTGATAACACACGAGTGTTTTAGTTGCTGCTGAGTAGTGCTCACCCTAAGTCTAGGACTTTTCACTTTCCTGTGCTCTGACAGTGAGGAGGGGCACAAGAAGCTGGGGGAGGGAGTAGACACCTGAACTAGCCAAAGGGCTATTCCATATCATAGAACATCATGTTCAGTATATCAACTGGGAGGAGTTGGCTGGTAGCTACCAATTGCTGCTCAGAGACAGGCTGGGCATTGGTCAGCGGTTGTTGAGGAGCTGTACTGTGTATCACTTGTGTTTCTTTAGTTTTAGTCCTCTTTTCCCCCTTATCTTCTTATATTATTTCAATTATTAAATTTATTCTTATCTCAACCCATGGGTTTCACTTCTTTTCCCCAATTCTCCTCCTCATGCCTTGGGGCAGGAGAATGAGCTGCGTGGTACTTAGTTGTCAGCTGTGGTTAAACCACAAAAATGACAACTGCTGAGTTAGAAGTTTTCAAAGTTTCTGCCTAAACACACTTATTACACTCACATCAGCACCTTCCAAGGACTTTTTCAGCACAGCAACAACTTCATCCTGGAAGGCGACTTCATCCACATTTTTGGGGCGACTAAACAAGAAGACATCAAATGCAATTCATTAGCTAACAGTTTCAGAAGAAAACAGAAATTGAGAAAAACAACACTTCCCTTTCCAATCACATCAAGTACTGAAGAGCTGAGATGGTTTAGTTTGAGGTGTCCCTGGCCATGGCAGGGGGTTGGAACTAGATGATCTTAAGGTCCTTTCCAACCCTAACTATTCTATGATTCTACAATTTCATAGTTGAGGCCAAAATCATAAGAAGATCATCTGCCTATTCAGGAAGCAGTTTGTCTATTGTAAACACCTGCCTGAGCTGTTTATAGAAGCAGAACTGTATTGCAGACTGCAATATTTTACCACTTTGTTAGCTGTTAAAGGCTTCTCAAAACTAAAACATTTCCTACACTTTCACACCAAGCCACAGTGATGAAAGGGCACAGCTTGACAGGGGCAAGAGAGGCGTCTTCTGCTCACTAACACCAACAAAGGGCTCTTACAGCAACTGATGGTGCTGGTTTTCCCCCATAACAGAAAAAAGTTAAAACTGCTCTCCCAGGAGGAAACACCTACAACTCCCTTGCTACACACCCACTCCCTCTTCCAGACACCCCTCCAGAACCAGCCCCACCCGCGATCAGCAACTGCAACCCCAGCCAGCGACCCCAAAGCCTCAGAAAAACCCTTACTATTTCTCCACCCAGGGGATAGGTTTAGGCCTCTTGCTCTCCCCGCTGCACCCCGCTGCGCCGGCCGCACCCCTCTCCTTAGCAGCGAGGGGCTTGGTGCTGATGGCAGATGGGCCTTTGAGGAAGGCCTGCATGGCTCCAGCTGTCTCCTTCACCTCACAGCCTCCCCACCTCAGCCCAGCCGTCAGGCCGAACACAGCCGCGCACACAAACCCACCACACCACAAGCACAACCAACCACACCGGCAGCTCCCGCCAGACCTTCCCGCCAACCCGTCACCGGCCGGGGCGGGGCCGCTTCCGCCTGCCCAGGACCAACCACAGAGCTCGGCCCCACCGCGGAGGCGGGCACTTACGTAACACCTCGGAACTCAGGGCCCGCCGGCAGCTCTGCGCATGCTCCCGCTCCTGGCGTGAAAGGCGGAAGGGGGAGGACCTCAGGACGTCATGGCTGGGCTTCCTATCCGGGGGGGGGTGGGTCCGGGTCCGGCGGGGTGCCGGCGCCTAGTGGTTGGTCATGGCCGTTCTTCCCAAACGCCCTAAGCCGCTGTACAAAAGCAGTGCTGAACTCAAGCTGAAGAGAGGGCTTTACTGTCAGGAGGCTGCGGCGTTAGGCAGGAGCTGCTCACTTTGCCCTGGCGGCTGAGGTGCGTCTTGGGGGTCTCTGGAAGTGAAACCCATGACAGCGAGGTCTGGCCCAGGCCTGTCCAGCTCCGGCTATCCCTGAGGATTTGTAATCGTATGGTCCTCGCTGCCAAAAGTAGCCCCGGCCCTTGCTGTCGCTAAGCGAGCAGCTCCCCCAGGTGTACGGGTGCAGGGGTTTCTTGTGCAAAAGCTACTAGCGAAGGAAAAGTGGATCTTTTTTGTTTCCACATTACTTCTAGTAATCTCCATTACAGTAAAGCCATGGGAATAATGAGGGATGTGATGTGGCAGTTCCCTTTAAATAGCAAAACTGCATCCTAGTAGATTTGGCAGTTGTGATGCGTGCGCACATCTTAGAATTGTTAGGGTTGGAAAGGACCTTAAGATCATCTAGTTCCAACCCCCCTGCCATGGGTAGGGACACCTCACATTAAACCATGTCACACAAGGCTCTGCCCAACCTGGCCTTGAACACCACCATGGGTGGAGCATTCACAGCCTCCCTGGGCAACCCATTCCAGTGCCTCACCACCCTTACAGTAAAGAACTGCCTCCTTATATGTAATCTAAACTTCCCATGTTTTAAGTTTTAACCCATTGCCCCTTGTCCTACCACTACAGTCCCTAATGAAGAGTCTCTCCCCAGCATCCCTGTAGGGCCTCTTCAGATATTGGAAGGCTGCTATGAGGTCTCCAAGCAGCCTTCTTCAGGCTGAACAGCCCCAACTTTCTCAGCCGATCTTCATGTGGGAGGTGTTCCAGTCCCCTGATCATCCTCGTGGCCCTCCTCTGGACTTGTTCCAACAGATCCATGTCCTTTTTATGCTGAGGACACCAGAACTGCACACAATACTCCAAGTGAAGTCTCATGAGAGCAGAGTAGAGGGGCAGGATCACCTCCTTCAACCTGCTGGTCACGTTTCTTTTGATGCAGCCCCGGATACGGTTGGCTTTCTGGGCTGTGAGCGCACACTGAAGCTGGCTCGTGCATTTTCTCATTGACCAACACCCCCAAGTCCTTCTCTGCAGGGCTGCTGTGAATCTTTTCTCTGCCCAACCTGTAGCTTCATGCACTGTGTAGCTACATCTTATATGCCCAATTGTGTACCAGCATTGTGGGTAAAAAACTGAAGTAATTCTGCTGCCAGAAGCTGTATATTGTGTGGTTACAGATGTTCTGCTTTACAATTTCACCTTGGCTACTCCTAGGCATGAGGCACAGCCAGAGTGGCCTGGGCAGCCATGGCAGTGATTACCCAGAATAGAACCTATGCAAGGGAGAAGATTTAGAATGGTCTCTATGGCAACAGAAGAACAATCTTTGAAAAAGGAGGTACAGGAAAGAATTTAGGCTGAAAATACTTCATTGTGTCAGTGAGGCAACTCTATAATCTTTGTCTGCACAATTTTAAATAAGCTGTTTCCTCTCATCTGGCATTCATTGAAGCATGAAATCCAGATCATAGCCTTAGCAGCAAGTGCCTACACATATAATTACTGAAGTTGTCTTGTTCTAGATGAAAATACAATGCCTTTTTTATATATATTTTTTTTTCTCCCACTGTGATTATATTTGGTACTTCTAAGTCATGATAACTTGGAAATGGTAAGGATGGAAAAGCAGCTAGAACTTATTAGCTTGCTTTCTGAAACTGTAAAAAAGCTTCATTCTCTTCAGTGGTCTATATTTGATCCACTCCCTAATTGGGCCGCTTTAAATATACCTGGCATTTGAGCATTTTGTGAACTATGTATGAGTCTCAGGTTCAGTTCAGCAGTGGAACTTCCTGTCTGCTACATGAACTTAACTTCGTAACACAACTTTTTGTGTCATTAACACAATGTCTTAACATTAAGTTAAGAATTCCAGACAGGAATAATGAAATGCAAGCTTCTCTGTCTTGGTCCCTGTTTTTCTCTCCCTTTCCCTCAGATATACAAGGACTGAAAATTCTGCTTGCTCTATTCCACTGAATTGCATTCACTCACCATCTTAAGGTCCAACAGATCAAACTCAGAAATAATGAGTTTGATTCAGTCATTCACTTGACTATAGTTTTTTCCATGGCAAAGGCTGTGTTTTTCAGTAGCCTCATCAGTGCTCCTCAGATGTAGCCCATAGCAACTGCTGTTCTAATGCACAGAAAAGCCAGTTTAGTTTTAATTTACTAATCATTTGGTGGATGCTGGATTTGTTTTCATATAAGACTATTTTTATTTATAAAACTATACAACCTATGATGTGTTGGTCTTTAAGAAATATAGTATGCCAGTGGCACATGCCTCATTACTGATACTGATTGAAAGCAACCTTCTTCGTTTTCATCATAGCCAGATCCTCCAGCCACACTTGAACCCTAGTATCTTCCAAGTACCTCAGATCTAGTTTCACAGTTATCCAAAATAGAGCCAGGAGCTCAGTGAAATGATCCAATTCATTGCACTACTACTACAAAAGACAGGAGGTAAAAGTGGGAGCTTGTGGTTGGATGGGTGGAGACTACATTGTTTGGTGGCAGGGCAGTATTGAACTGCCAAGGCAGCTTGAACTGACCGAAATGGGAAGTCTGGTCTGCTTTCTTCCCAGTCTTATGTTGCCATTTGTAGGTGTACAACTATGGCATGAGGGTTCAAGAGCTCGTTTGATGGTAAGGGGTAGGGATGGTAATAGGACAAGATAATTGATTAGGGGGAGGACATCTGTCTTTATAAGTTACTCTGCCTGCTGCCCTGCAGACCTGGCCATGCCTTCATCAATCAGTTCATCCAGTTGATATTAATGCTTTCTGGGTGATGAGTTCGAGTTTTTTTCATGACACTGGAAGTGGGTAAGTGGCTTCCTTAAAATAAACTGCATAGAATTTAGGAAGTAAGCTGACCCTAGAAATTACAGGATCACTGTCCAACAGCTTTGTCAAAAATTCAGGCTTTGTTTTAAAAGGGGAAAGTGTTGAAAGAAAAGAATGCAGTACAAATAGGTGTATATGGATTTTCTTCAAAGTTTAATGCAAACATTTGTCTAATAACTTTCAGCATTGGAAGGCTTCTCTCAGAATTATATAAGCAACACAGCAGACTGAAACTGGTAGGTTTCACTGCAAGCTGTGTAAACAAGGGAAGGTTCAAAGCAAGATGGCAAGAATGTTGAAAGGTATGAATTGTTTTTTTTCTTTTTTCTTTTTCTTTTTTTTTTTTTTAAATGAAGAGATAGTAGCTAGGACAGCATTCAGCTGAGCTCAGGAAAGAGTGCCTGAGGGTTATGATCACTGTACGGAAAGTCATGGCTAAGATGGATAATGTGAATAGGGATTACTCATTCCTTCTCAGGAACGGCAGGCCTGAAATTGAACAATCAGGATTCAGATTTAAAACCAAAAGAAGTTTGTCTGTTTGTTTGCTTATTTTCACACAATGCATTTTTAAATTCCAAATGTTGTTACTACTAAATGTTATGGCTATCAAATTATAAATAGATTAAAAAAATAACTAGGCAAATTCATAAAGAAATGGAGTGTTAAATATGATCAGGGAAATGCAAACCTGAACTCAGAAAATCCATGAACTACAGATTGCTACAATTTGAAAGGGGAATACTGGAGAGGACCTCTCTCTTTAAGTGGCCTGTTTCATACACTCTTTCATAAGGGTGTATTAATGGTCCTACTCACAGATGGGCTACTTCCCCAGTCTATGTCAGGACAGCTTCTTCTACAACATGGACAGTGAATGATTGATGTAAAATGATAGTGACAAAAAATGTTTATGATGGGGAAGGAAAAAAGGGAAAGGGGCAGATAGCTTTGCTAAAACTAGTGTCTTCAGTGGGCTCTCTTTCTTCAGAAAGGATGTTAGATGCAGTTGTGCTCCTTTTAAAGTAAAGTAGCTGAAACAGCATCTGAGGCAAAGCAGGTTAGGCTTTGCCATGCTTAGGCAGGAGGTTAAGGTTGAAGGCAGGTACATAGGCGTGGATTGGTAGCTGTGTGCAAGAGAAAAAGTGTACATACAAGTTTCAGCAAGGAGGCCCAGATTTGTCACTGGATCTGAGAGGGCAGTGGAGAGCCAGGGAACAGCCAGGGAAGCCCTAGTCATGTGACCCTTTTAAAAGCTAGGCAAGAGCGCTGTTGAGTGAAATGTTCTAGAATGAACAGAAATAAGAAACCTTGAAATATGGAGTGGTATGTTCCTTTACTGCATGATTAATGTTACAGAAAGGAAACAGAACTCTGTGTGTCATCTTTGTAAGCATGCATCAAAGAACTATCTGACTCATTTACCAGTTTCTTCTGGTAATGGAAATGTGCTGCAGATCTGAAGCATTGCCATAACCAGTCAGAGTGTTGACAGTGTAATTGTGTTTCCTGATTATGCCAATAGTGTTAGAGTTCTTCCCAGTGAATAATAGGGCCCCAGCCTTTGATATGGGTATCAGACAGTTTACAGACAAAAGTTAAGGGAGGAAGAGGTATGATACAAAGGAGCTTGTTTACAGAAGAATAAAACTGGGAAAGGGATTCTCAACTTTTCTGTTATTCTATCATCCTGCTTTTTTTTTTCTGGTATGAAAGTGTCTTCA